AAAAAAATGCTTTCATGTTAATCCTACAGGCTTTCTCTGTAGTTCCAAACTCCAAACCAGCACAAAACTACTGAAAAACCCATTAAGAACCACAAAGCTAGCCAGGCGCGGCGGCTCACGCCTACAATCCCAGCACTTTGGGAGGCTGAGTGGGGAGGATCACTGAGGTCCAGGAGTTTGAGGCCGTCCTGGGCAACATGGGGAGACTCCATCTCTATTTTATTTTTAAAAAGAAACAAAGGAACTGAAATAAATAAGGCTGTCACTTATTTCTATTTTTTTAATTTAAAAAATTATTTTTTTAGAGACAGAGTCTTGCTCTGCCTCCTAAGTAGCTAGGACTATAGGTGAGCGCCACTGTACCTGTCTAATATTTTTGGGGTAGACATAGGGTCTTGTTTTGTTGCCCAGGCTCAAGTGATCCTCCTGCCTCGGCCTCCCAAAGTGCTGGGATTAGAGGTGTGAGCCACTGTGTCCAGCCGAGGTCATCATTTAATGCTAACTCATACTTGGGATCATGGGATCAGATGACAACTGAACTCCCCAGAAGTAAAAGAGGAAAGATATAAGCTTTAGAACATAGAAGTTTGTTTCTTACTGCCAAAATAATACTGCATATGTGTAGCAATAATTCTCAATGAGCAAAGAGTATTTATGGACAGAAAACGAAAAGACAATCAAGAACAACATTTAGCTTAAGGCTGCAAGGGGAGGCCAAGGTTAGGCGCACAGGAGTGGTGAGGCCTGGTCACCTTGGCCCCTCTCACCTCGCACACCGACCGCAGAGGCTTCAGGTGCCCCCCATGCGTGGCAGCTTCAACAACTTTGCTTGAATCTGACTGATCAAACAACAAAACAGCATGCTGAGTCGAGAGAAACTATCCTGAATAAGCCCTTAACTTCCCGGTACTGTGTAGTTCTAAGAGCCATTTCCCCCTTAAACAGGAATACGATTTGACAGAGAATTCTGTCGGTGGTGGCTCACGCCTGTAATCCCAGCACTTTGGGAGGCCAATGTGGGAGGATCACTTGGGTCCAGGAGTTTGAAACCAGTTTAGGCAACATGGAGAAACCCTGTTTCTACAAAAAATACAAAAATTAGCTGGCCTTGGTGGCGCACACCTGTAGTCCCAGCTACTGGGGAGGCTGAGGCGGGAGGATCACTTGAGCCCATGAGGTCAAGGCTACAGCGAGCTGTGATCACACCACTGCACTCCAGCCTAGGCAACAGAGTAAGACCCTGTCTCAAAAAAAAGAAACAGAGGCCGGGTGCAGTGGCTCATGTCTGTAACCCCAGCACTTTGGGAGGCTGAGGTGGGCAGATCACAAGGTCAGGAGATGGAGACCATCTTGGTCAACGTGGTGAAACCCCATCTCTACTAAAATACAAAAAATTAGCCAGGCATGGTGGCACATGCCTGTAGTCCCAGCTACTTGGGAGGCTGAGGCAGAAGAATCACTTGAACCTGGAAGGCGGAGGTTGCCATGAGCTGAGATCACACCACTGCACTCCAGCCTGGTGACAGAGCAAGACTCCGTCTCAAAAAAAAAAAAAAGAAAGAAAAAAAAAAACAAAAAGTAGAGAAAATTCTCTGTAAAAAAAAAAAGTTGATGGGAATTTTCCTTAAACAAAGAGAAAAAGCCAGTGGCTAAGTGTGGTAAATACTAGAAAATGACTCATCTTAAGTGTCTTCAGTAAATATCAGCTTTCTCCATGGATCACGTCTGGAGACTGGACTTATGCTAAGCACTTCACCGTGGTGCAGTGGTGTAGCTTGTATGCATCTCACCCTGCACACCAGGCACAGGTGGAACAGGGCTGACCATATGCCCTGGCCTGGCTTAGACACTAGAAAGGAAACGGGATTTAAAAAGAAACTAGTGGCTGGGCGAGGTGACTCACGCCTGTAATCCCAGCACTTTGGGAGGCCAAGGCGGGTGGATCACCCAAAGTCAGGAGTTTGAGACCAACCTGGTCAACATGGTGAAACCCTGTCCCTACCAAAAATACAAAAATTGGCCAGGTGTGGTGGCGTGCACCTATAATCCCAGCTACTCGGGAGGCAGAGGCAGGAGAATTGCTTGAACTCAGGAGGCGGAGGTTGCAGTGAGGCTGAGATCACACCACAGTACTCCAGCCTAAGGCGACGAGTGAGACTCCGTCTCAGAAAAACAAAATCGAACAAAAAAGGAACTAATGGGCCAGGCGCGGGCGGTGGCTCAAGCCTGTAATCCCAGCACTTTGGGAGGCCGAGACGGGCGGATCACGAGGTCAGGACGATCGAGACCATCCTGGCTAAACACAGTGAAACCCCGTCTCTACTAAAAATACAAAACTTAGCCGGGCGAGGGTGGCAGCGGCCTGTAGTCCCAGCTACTCGGGAGGCTGAGGCAGGAGAATGGCGTGAACCTGGGAGGCGGAGCTTGCAGTGAGCTGAGTCCGGCCACTGCACTCCAGCCTGGGTGACAGAGCGAGACTCCGTCTCAAAAAAAAAAAAAAAAAGGAACTAATGAATGAGCTGAATGCTCTGGGCTGCTGGA